CTTCATTTTAATCAACACTAACTTTATTCTCATCTGAATTATAAATAACTTATTTCTGTATAAAATAAAAAATCCCGAATAATCCAGACCAACCAGAGCGCACTATTTCTACAACATCATCAGTGCTGAAGCAGAACTACCAGAGCCGTTCGGCAGATTTTCATAAATCTTGTGTGCTTATTTCATGTGTCCGTTAAATCCATGAGACCGTCTGTAGGGTGTCTCGTTTTTCATTTTAGGTTTCAGGAGGTTGCTTATGCATACTTTCTGGTTGATATGTGCCCTCGATGCGCACTTCTGCAGAGCCCACACTGATGCAAGCTCTACAGCACACTTCTTTTCGACAGTCAAAGCAGGGTTACGTTTTTGCACGACGTGCACAATAACCCTAAAGGCACCGGGGTGGCGGTGCCGCCGGCTTCTTTTTTTTATATATATATAGCTGCGAGCAGCGATGAAGGGCCAAAGCCGGCGGAATCGCCACTCCGGTGCCTTTAGGTAACTAAAGGCACCGGGGTTGCGGTGCCACCAGCTCGGGTCCGTAATCGCTGCTCGCAGCTATATTTATATATAATAATAATAATAATAATAATAATAAATTTTATTTACAGCGCCTTATCAGGACACCCAAGGACACTGTACAAAGCAGATAAAAACCATTAAAACAGTAAACAATAAAATTGGCAAGACAACGTTGAGGTGAAATGGGTTAAGCGGAATATGAATGTCTAAACAACAGAGTTTTGAGTTTGGATTTGAAAAGATTAAATGAGTACATGGTACGTAGATCTGAGGGGAGGGAATTCCAAAGATGGGGAGCAGAGCGACTAAACGCCCTGCTCCCCATTGTGACAAGACGAGCAGGGGGAACAGAAAGCAGGCAGGTGTGAGAGGATCGGAGTGAACAAGTAGGGATGTTTAAATGGAGAAGATCTGAAATATATGGAGGAGCCATGTTATGAACTGCTTTGAAAGTAATGAGAAGTATTTTAAAGCTGATCCTCTGTTTGACAGGAAGCCAATGAAGTTGTTGCAGGATGGGAGTGATATGATGAAAAATGGGGGTCTGAGTAATCAGGCGTGTAGCAGAGTTCTGTAGGAGCTGCAGCTTCTGGAGCGACTTATTAGGGAGGCCAAACAGGAGTGAGTTACAGTAATCTAACCGAGATGTGATGAGGCTGTGAACCAGGATGGCAGTGGTTTGGGGAGAAAGAGACTGACGGAGGCGGGAAATGTTACGCAGGTGGAAATAGGCTGACCGGGTGATGCTATTAATGTGAGAGTGGAAAGATAATGTGCTGTCAAGGACGACACCCAGACTCTTAACCTGAGGGGAGGGGAGGACAGTTGAGTTATCAATGGTAATGGAAACTTTATTAGCTTTGGAGAGAGAATGAGGTGTGCCTACCAAGAAGACTTGAGAAAGACTTCAGTTTGAGAAAGTTGGATGAAAACCAAGAGTGGATTTCTTGGAGACAGAGGGTAAGAGAGGTTGGTGGGAGTAAAGAAGATGGTTTAGTGGAAAGGTAGAGCTGGGTGTCGTCCGCGTAGCAATGAAATTTAATGTTATGTTTACGGAGGATGTGACCAAGAGGGAGGATGTATTTGATAAAAAGGAGAGGCCCCAATACAGAGCCTTGGGGCACTCCAGCGGAGACAGGGAAAGTAACGGATTTCTGGGTTTTTAGTTGTATGAACTGTGTGCAATCAGAAATGTATGAAGTAAACCAGGCTATGGGAGTGTGAGTGATACCAATAGATGATAATCGACTAAGGAGGATGGGATGAGAAATGGAATCAAAAGCTGCTGTGAGGTCCAGAAGAATGAGAATTGAAAGTAACCCAGAATCAGAAGCCATGAGAAGGTCATCTGACATTTTGATGAGTGCGGTTTCAGTGCTGTGAAGGGGACGGAAGCCAGATTGAAACTGCTCGTAGATGTTATTCGACATGAGGTGATTATGAAGTTGGGAGGCGACTGTTTTTTCCAGAATTTGGGATATGAAGGGAAAGTTAGATATAGGACGGAGATTGCTAAATTTAGTGGGGTCCAGACCAGGTTTTTTCAGAATGGGTGTGACCGAGGTAATTTTGAGTGAATGGGGGACTGAACCAGAGCTTAGGGAGGAGTGGATAATCTCAGTGATGAGAGGGGCAAGTGAAGAACAGCAGGATTTAACCAGGGTGGAGGGAAGTGGGTCGAGCTGACATGTGCAGGGTTTAGATTTATGAATAATGTCCGAAATGGCTTGAACAGAGGGAAGGTCGAAACTTAAAAAAGTAGTAGTTGGGGATGGATAAGGGGTGTTAAAGTTGCCTCCGGAAGCTGCAGCTCCAGATGGGGTCAAGTGTTTATGGATGTCTGTGATTTTGAAACAAAAAAGGACATAAGTTTATTGCAAAAGTCTTGGGATTGCATATGGTAAGAAAGCGAGTCAGGAGGTTTTGTGATGGAAGTGAGGATGGAGAACAGGGTTTTAGAATTATGATGATTAGAGTGAATTAAGTGAGAGTAATATTCAGATTTAGCTGAAGAGAGGGAATCCTTATACAAATTAACATGTTCCATGTACAAACTTTATATATATATATATATATATATATATATATATACACTCACCGGCCACTTTATTAGGTACACCTGTCCAACTGCTCGTTAACACTTAATTTCTAAGCAGCCAATCACATGGCGGCAACTCAGTGCATTTAGGCATGTAGACATGGTCAAGACAATCTCCTGCAGTTCAAACCGAGCATCAGTATGGGGAAGAAAGTTGATTTGAGTGACTTTGAACGTGGCATGATTGTTGGTGCCAGAAGGGCTGGTCTGAGTATTTCAGAAACTGCTAATCTACTGGGATTTTCACGCACAACCATCTCTAGGGTTTACAGAGAATGGTCTGAAAAAGAAAAAACATCCAGTGAGCGGCAGTTCTGTGGGCGGAAATGCCTTGTTGATGCCAGAGGTCAGAGGAGAATGGCCAGACTGGTTCGAGCTGATAGAAGGGCAACAGTGACTGAAATAACCACTCGTTACAACCGAGGTATGCAGCAAAGCATTTGTGAAGCCACAACACGCACAACCTTGAGGCGGATGGGCTACAACAGCAGAAGACTCCACCGGGTACCACTCATCTCCACTACAAATAGGAAAAAGAGGCTACAATTTGCAAGAGCTCACCAAAATTGAACAGTTGAAGACTGGAAAAATGTTGCCTGGACTGATGAGTCTCGATTTCTGTTGAGACATTCAGATGTTAGAGTCAGAATTTGGCGTAAACAGAATGAGAACATGGAACCATCATGCCTTGTTACCACTGTGCAGGCTGGTGGTGGTGGTGGTGTAATGGTGTGGGGGATGTTTTCCTGGCACACTTTAGGCCCCTTAGTGCCAATTGGGCATCGTTTAAATGCCACGGCCTACCTGAGCATTGTTTCTGACCATGTCCATCCCTTTATGGCCACCATGTACCCATCCTCTGATGGCTACTTCCACCATGTCACAAAGCTCTAATCATTTCAAATTGGTTTCTTGAACATGACAATGAGTTCACTGTACTAAAATGGCCTCCACAGTCACCAGATCTCAACCCAATAGAGCATCTTTGGGATGTGGTGGAACGGGAGATTCGCATCATGGATGTGCAGCCGACAAATCTGCGGCAACTGTGTGATGCCATCATGTCAATATGGACCAAACTCCCTGAGGAATGCTTCCAGCACCTTTTTGAATCTATGCCACGAAGAATTGAGGCAGTTCTGAAGGCAAAAGGGGGTCCAACCCGTTACTAGCATGGGGTACCTAATAAAGTGGCCGGTGAGTGTGTATATATATATATATATATATATATAATTCAGTATTGTGTTTAGTATCATTTTAAATGTCCCGGAGTGGGTGGTACAGATGTCTCATTCCCAAAGAGTAAAACACAAGGTAATAAGGTTTTTTAGAAGTTTAGAGAAACTGGCGAATAAAGGTAGGCAAATGGTCTCCCTACCCCCCAAAAAGGTGTAAACTCCTGAATGCAAATCCCCACTGTTAGCAAATGGTCAACTTCTGCCCCCAGTAAGTCTGGGAGAGGGTTTAAGGTAAATTTCCATTGTGAATTCATGTTTACATATGAAATGAGGTCTGGCTATATAATGAAATGCAACTAGAAGATCTGGGCCTTTTCTGTATCTCAGATGAGCCCGTGAGGCTGGAGTTGCGAGTCTCTCAGCTTCAAGTAGCCTATTTCCTAATGTCGGGTTCATCTTCTCTTTTATTCCAGAACATTTGATATTTTGTATTGATTATCTTTGAACTGATGATAAATTTACCTGACATAATAAATTGTTACATTTGATGATTCTTCTAACTGACTTTGATATTATTTCATTAGAGTTAAAAGGAATTAGTCAAACTTTCGCTTATATTTAATGATGCACAGATATCATTAAAAACCTTTTCATTCTATGGAGTCAGATGAAATAACGAGAGAATACATATGAAAAATGTATTGCATTTAATCAAAATCCCTTTACCATGAGAAAAGACGGAACACGCGCGAGACCTTCGCCGCTGCTCGAATACCGCCATTGGATCGATTTACAACGGCCTTACATCAGTGATCATTATGATATATATATATATATATATATATATATATATATATATATATAACATAAAACATACCAGCATAAAAAGCAGAGGTTTTAAATCATAGTCTTTTTCATCATTTAAAGCAAACAACACACTCTCCAGAATAAACTATTAATGTTTATCAGAGAGCTGTTCAAATCACTGACACACTCTTAATATGAAGATCATTCTTCATCATCAGATGTTTGAGTGACACTATGTCCAGTATCAGGAATAATACAGTATGATCTGTGTGTATCAATACACAACTCTGAGATCACAGCGTGAATGTGTGCAAGAATAAACTGAGCATGTTGAAATGAACTCTTTCCAGACTAATTCGACTAAATGTGTTTAGAGAAAATACAGATTTCTTTACCTGTGAGAAGTGAAGAGAGAACGATCAGTCCCAGCAGACACAGATCACACTTATCAGCCATTTCTGTTTCTGTCCGTCTTCCTCTTCACTATATATAGTTACAGCTCCTCCTTTAAACATCATCAGCTCCTCCTCTTCATTATATATAGTTACAGCTCCTCATTTAAACATCATCAGCTCTTCCTCTTTATTATATATAGTTACAGCTCCTCCTTTAAACATCATCAGCTCCTCCTCTTCATTATATATAGCTACAGCTCCTCCTTTAAACATCATCAGCTCCCCCTCTTCATTATATATAGTTACAGCTCCTCCTTTAAACATCATCAGCTCCTCCTCTTCATTATATATAACTACAGCTCCTCCTTTAAACATCATCAGCTCCTCCTCTTCATTATATATAGTTACAGCTCTTTCTCTTCATTATATATAGTTACAGCTCCTCCTTTAAACATTATCAGCTCCTCCTCTTCATTATATATAGTTACAGCTCCTCGTTTAAACATCATCAGCTCCTCCTCTTCATTATATATAGTTACAGCTCCTCCTTTAAACATCATCAGCTCCTCCTCTTCATTATATAGTGTTACAGCTCCTCCTTTAAACATCATCAGCTCTTCCTCTTCATTATATATAGTTACAGCTCCTCCTTTATACATCATCAGCTCCTCCTCTTCATGATATATAGTTACAGCTCCTCCTTTAAACATCATCAGCTCCTCCTCTTCATTATATATAGTTACAGCTCCTCCTTTAAACATCATCAGCTCTTCCTCTTCATTATATATTGTTACAGCTCCTCCTTTAAACATCATCAGCTCCTCCTCTTCATTATATATAGTTACAGCTCCTCCTTTAAACATTGTCAGCTCCTCCACTTCATTATATATAGTTACAGCTCCTCCTTTAAACATCATCAGCTCCTCCTCTTCATTATATAGTCACAGCTCCTCCTCAAAACATCATCAGCTCCTCCTCTTCATTATATATAGTTACAGCTTCTCCTTTAAACATCATCAGCTCCTCCTCTTCATTATATATAGTTACGGCTCCTCCTTTAAACATCATCAGCTCATCCTCTTCATTATATATAGTTACAGCTCCTCCTTTAAACATCATCAGCTCCTCCTCTTCATTATGTAGTCACAGCTTCTCCTTTAAACATCATCAGCTCCTCCACTTCATTATATATAGTTACGGCTCCTCCTTTAAACATCATCAGCTCCTCCTCTTCATTATATAGTCACAGCTTCTCCTTTAAACATCATCAGCTCCTCCTCTTCATTATATATAGTTACAGCTCCTCCTTTAAACATCATCAGCTCCTCCTCTTCATTATATAGTGTTACAGCTCCTCCTTTAAACATCATCAGCTCTTTCTCTTTATTATATATAGTTACAGCTCCTCCTTTAAACATCATCAGCTCTTTCTCTTCATTATATATAGTTACATCTCCTCCTTTAAACATCATCAGCTCCTCCTCTTCATTATATATAGTTACAGCTCCTCCTTTAAACATCATCAGCTCTTTCTCTTCATTATATATAGTTACAGCTCCTCCTTTAAACATCATCAGCTCCTCCTCTTCATTATATATAGTTACATCTCCTCCTTTAAACATCATCAGCTCTTTCTCTTCATTATATATAGTTACAGCTCCTCCTTTAAACATCATCAGCTCCTCCTCTTCATTATATATAGTTACAGCTCCTCCTTTAAACATCCTCAGCTCCTCCTGTGGTTATTAACATCCTCTCATCTGATCAACTGAGTGTTTACATCCGTTGCTATTGTAACCCACTTGAAAATAGCCTACTAGCAGGATTACGTTATTCTAGTTTAATATCTGATTTCTTGATTACTTTTAGTTATGTTTTCCCTGCACACCGTATTTGTCCAGTGGTGGCGCTGCATAGAGAGGAAAACGTCTCGGGTTACGACTGTAACCCTCGTTCCCTGAGAAGGGAACGAAACGCTGCGTCGGAAATCGACACATTGGGGAACGCCTTCGGCATGAAGCGTCTCAAGTCAACTATTCAATCTCGATTGGCGTAGCCTAATCACGTCACTCGTGACGTCGCATGTGACGGAGAGCAGAAGCTATAAAGGGACACCGGAACAAAGCAGCGTCAGCTTCTGATTGGTCGAAGCAAGTCGTTTTCAGGGCACGAGCAGTGTGGCCGAGGGACGCAGCGTTTCATTCCCTTCTCAGGGAACGAGGGTTACAGTCGTAACCCGAGACGTTCCCTTTCGAGGGAACTCTCGCTGCGTCGGAAATCGACACATTGGGGAACGAAATGTCCACTGCGCCACACTGAGAGAATACGTCCTGGTGTGAAGCATCTGGCACACTCACGGACGATAGGAATGAGAAGGCAGATCCAACCTAGATTGTCATAAGATTTGGTGTAAGAAGGGGAGGTCTGGAGCCGGTGGCTCAACGGACCCCATGTATGGGAACCCCAGACACTAAAGAAATATTAGATGAGAGGTGAAGGCAAGAGTGCACCTCGTATATCAGTTATGAGAGGTTTCCGTAGATAACCAACTGTCTAATTGAAAAAGGGGGATAGCTCCTAGCCCTTGATACATATCTAGATAGATCTAACTCCTACCAGCCCGAGGCACTAAGGCCACCACAGAGGCCCTAAGCATGAATGGGAGGTCCCGTTATAGAACAGGATGGAACGCCAGTACTGAAGCCACTGGGCAGTATTTAACTGGGTTCAATGCCGTACCTAACCTCTTAAATATATTTAGTTCCTAGTAGAGTGGGGTTCTAGAATGGATGACCTAACCACCTCGATGGAAAGGGCAACCTATTTATGGGTTGATCCCCCTCAGGGGCCAGACCCATAGTCTCCATAACTCTGGCCGTGGATAAAATATTGTACAATAGGCCTGGGAAAGAAGATCTCTCCTAATAGGGACTCGCCAGGGAGGACTCTCCAGGAGACTTATAGGGTCCGAGAGCCGAATTCGGCCAGTACGGAGCTACAAGGAGTAAACTCAAGCCGTACCTCCTGACCCTTTCCAGAACCCCAGGGAGCAGAGCGATCGGGGGAAAAGCGTACAGACGTGACCTCAGCCACATCTGTACGCCCAAAGGAGCTGGATGTGAGAGAGAGTACCAGAGCGGGCAATGAGTGTTCTCATGAGAAGCGCACAGGTCAACCTCCGCTCGGCCAAACTCTCTCCATGGCTGCGTTCCAAACCGCATACTCAATGAGTAGGTACTTAATTTCAATGAGTAATTACTTGACGAGCACTAAAAGAGTAGGTACTTTATAGCCAAATCTCGTTGAGTATGAATGCGATCCGGACATCATCTGCCATGTTGACGTTATCATGTGACCTACGACGCGTTATCACAAGCGCAACAACTTAAAAGATGAACGACACGTTTAATTCATCTATCTGTAAATATCTTGATATTGATGAAACTTGCTCATTTTGTGGTATTGTTGAAGAAACAGCTGCCAATTTATTTTGTGAATACATTTAGGGTTGATTTAAGTTGTTATATTTTAAACCCTACTAATGTGACCCACAGTTCCTTATAACGATTGTTTTTAAGAAACCCCAAAATCGTCATCTCTTGAATAGGCCTATGTTGTTAATTTCTTTATTTTATACCCAAAAAGTTTCTCCTTTAAGTTTTCCTCTTTTCTTGATGAATTTACCTCTCGTTTCATCCCTCAGACTTATAACAACAAAACAATTTTTTAATGTAGGGCCTATTATGAAGAACTATTTAAAGATATTTAGCCTTGTTATTGTTCTTTTTTCCTGTGTATATATCATATTATGATGTACACAAACCAATAATCCTTATGTTTTCTGTTTTGTCATTATGATTGTTCATTGTTAGATACAACTATGGTATCTTTCTATGATCTTTATGTAATAAGTTTAAATTATATGAGTGACAGGTGCATTAACACTTCATAACATCAGTAACCCGACAGCACAACCTAGAACAGTTTTCCTCACCGTTTGTAATGTCTGCACAAGGAGACGGGCGGCTGCTCGAAGATCTCCTGTGGAGAAAACTTTTGACTTTATACTCGAAAAATGTAAGTATCGCTCCTTGAAAATTAATATTACCTCAGAATGAATTGCATTGTTAGCCCACCCCAAAACTTAAACAAAATAATATTAAATGCTGACCAATACTTAATTATATTACTCTTTTTTTTATATACTAAAAATGATATAATTTAATAAAACAAGCAAAATGTAATTTGTTTTGTCATGAGTTATGCATGAATACACGTGAACATCTCAATTGTCAGTCAAGCAATGAATTATCAAACTACAAGCATGTATTTACAAGCGCTGAGCCCCACATACTGCCATCTCAACACAGTGGTTCCCATTCTGCGGCTTTACTCTGATGAAGTCACCAGAGGTGACCGTGCCTTCGTCCCGGAGCTTGTTGCTGCGCTTCACAATCTGAGGCGATAAGGGCAGATGGAGAGATGGAGCGTCTCATCCATGGCACCGTTTCCAGGATTCAGCTCTGGGCTCCTCATCCTCAGTGCTCACACCAGTCTGAATAAAAACACGATTAGTTACTTTATAGATTTGTTTATTTACCTTATTTACAGCACATGTGTCTAATGTCAACAGTGTTGACAACAGTGAATTAACGTTATCCTATAATAATGCCACACATACATCACTCAGATGTCTTTTTCATGTTGTGATGTGCTCATCTGCAATATGTCAATACTTACAATATTTTCCTTTCAGATGTAAATAGACATTTTAAATAAGCGTGTTTAAGATGTTATGTAAATCCACTTTAGAGACGTTACGTGTGCTTAGAGCTCCCCTGTTAGCTAGCTATATACAAAACATGTTTTTACAGCAAAATCACAACTATACTGTCTAACTATTTTACACCTTCAACAGTTAAAGCGTTTACTCTATAGTAGTTTAACACATAAGAAACCGTGTTTTCTCATATTTGAAAACTACGTCGCAATCTCCGTGATGTTTGATAATGACGTATGCTCTCGCGTGGCCTCCTGGGATAGATGAGTACAAGCTGAAAA